ATGGCGAACCTATGACACGCGTGTCAGAGGTGACACGTGAACTCATTTTTTTGGTTGATTTTTCTTTGTTAAATGGCATTTAAATATATAAAATAAATATCAAAAATATAAATCTTTGTTTTACTATGGTTGCAAAGATAAAAAATTGTCTATATGTGACACGGCACCAAAGTTAGGGTTTTTCAAAATGCTGACACGCCGAGCTCAAAACGTTCGCCATCACTGCCTTAGGAGAATGACATGACCCTGGCAAAATTTTAGGAAACACTTTGTCAGAAGTGTAGGATAAACTGCAGGCTGTGGTTTGGTTAGTAGTCATAGGATAAATACTACAGGTGTGTTTAAATGTCTTTAGGGACACTGATTCTTTCAGAACTTAAAGAAAGCTAAGGACTAAATCTGACAAAATTATACAAATGTCTATTAGTATCCTTTGACATCTGCTTAATAATGAATGGTAATGTAAAAGAGAAGGTCGTAATAATAACTTTAATAATAACTTACATTTATTGAATGCTAACTTCAGGCCAGGTACCATACATTTTTTTACGTGGGTTATTTTATTTTTATAACAACCATGTGAGATGGGTACTCTTAACTAAAGAGGTTAAGTACGTTAAGTTATTCAGCACCAAGTGGGAGAACCAGAATTTGAAAGTCTGTCTGGTTCTTAAGTTCATTTTCTTAACCTATATTGTGTGACTCCATTCTAGGGCAAATGAGATTATGGGTGAAAGAAACTTAGTTTTGAAAGAGGTAGTTTGCTATTTTTTAATATTGTCTTTGCTTTTCACTTCTTTTATCCCTTCCCTTTCTGAGCAATTCAGTCAAAAAGCATCTGCATCAGCTATCCACCTTACCCACCTCTTTGACTCACAGAGTATTTTGTTGCCTGACCAGAGTGAGGAAGGTGCCCTCAAACATTGTGGTGTTCCTCTTAGGGTGTTTGGAGCTTGGGCGTGGTAAGGAGGGTGTCTGTGTAGAAGAGGGCCTCAGCATGGAGTATGTGAGTTGCAGTGGCGTATGGAGAATGTCCAGTGTGGAGGGTGGTGACAGTGGCTCAGTAGTTTGACAAAGCCCAAATGGGGTACAGGGCATGCATGCAGTGAACAAACGGTTCATGTAAGCTACATACAGGTTGTTCAAATAAGTAAGTATAGTGAATATAGTGGGAGCTTCGTTTCTCATTGTTGGAGAAAGGAGTTTCAAAATGGAGGACAATATAATGAACCATGTGCCTTTGGAGTGGAATTGGAGATGGCAGTGTGAGCTTATAATTTTTAATGTAGATAGATAGATATAGCTAACCCAGCACCCAGTTCTTGGTCTCTGAATACCGTTCTTAATGAATCAGGACTCATTGGAGAAATGGCTAATTCCAGGGCTGGGTCAGTAAAAGTACAGATGAGCCTGGAACATCTTATGTGCAAGAAATTTTTTTAAAGAATTATGATTCAGAATTAATGACTCAAAACCAGCTTGAATGTACTCCACTGGCCAAATCTGGAACAATTTGGCCATCAAAATAAATACTGATGGCAAAATATTATAAATACAACCAACTCATGAGTCTGTATTGAAAAAATTAATGAATACATGGAAAGTTTGATGATGTGAGGGATATTTTTACTGTCTCAAAGTATGTCCCCATGGAATACTTACAAATTACAAAGATTTAAAAAAGGCCTTTATCACCCTGGCTGGGTGGCTCAGTTGATTGTAGTGTCATCCTGTACACCAAAAGGTTGTGGATTTAATTCCTGGTCAGGACACATACCTAGATTTCGGGTTTGATCCCTAGTTGGAGTGAATATGGGAGGCAGCCAATCGATGTCTCTCTCTGTCTCTGTCTCTGTCTCTGTCTCTCTCTCTCTGTATCTATCTCCCTAAATTAATAAACATATCCTCAGATGAGGATTAAAATAAAAATAAACAAACAAAAAACTTTACAGTGGGCACATTTGGCAGTGACCAAAGCAGAACTATCAGTGTGCCAGCTGACTTGGCGCACAGAGAAGAACATGGCATCACTTCTTTAATATTCCTGCCAAAGATGCACACCCTGCATTTAATCATGAGAAAACATCAGACATACTAACAAAATAAGTGACCCGCAATCTTTAAAAGTATTGAGGTCATGAAAATTAAGAAAACAATGAAAAACTACCAGAATGAAACAGGACAACTAAATAAAATTCTTGAGGTATTGCACTGTAAAGGACATTATTAGGAAAAGAACAAAACTTGAATTAGGTCTAAGGATTAGATACACTGTAGTAATGTGTCTGTTAATTTTCTGATTTTGACAGTTGTTTTCTGGTATGTAGAAGAATTCTCTTGTTTGTGAGAAATGCACACTGAAGTTTTTAGACTTGACTGGACATCATGTTGGCAGCTTACTCTCACAACAGGAAAAAGAAATACTTTGTATTCTACTGTACTTAGAAATTTTATGTAACTTGGAGGCTGTTCCAAAACACAGTTAAAAACAAAAAGGATCTCTGCTAAGGGATTGACTTCTTGTTCTGTTGGTGGTTTTCAGGTGGCTTGTAGTTAAAGGGAGAAACATTTTGTATTGCTGTACAAATGCTAATAAGAGGAACCTCTGTAATCAGTCCTGTTTTGTGAATTATTTTATGGAAATGCAGGTACTGAGAAAGTTTACATACAAAAATCTGCCCTTTGGCTTTGTAGGTATGTGTATATGTATGTGGATGCTTTGATCTTACAGATATCTTATTAGCTTTTAAAGGTAGAACTTTATATTTTTTTATGTTCCATTTGAATTACTTTAAAAAATTGTCATTTGCTTTTATTTCTTGGTTCACATTTTATAGATAAAAGATATAATTTAATATTTAATATCTTATAATGGCAAGGACAGTTATCGTAATTTTAAATCTTACTAACAATAATTTTAACATTATTATGAGTGATAATAAGAACAACACCTCTCATTGAGCATTTTGAGTGTTAAGTATTTCTACAAGTTAACCTCTGGATGCTGCATTTTTTCTTCTGTGAAATGGGGACAGTAAGAGTCCCTTTGCCTCATAGTGTTGTGAGGATTACATGTCAAAATACATCTAAAGTGCTTAAAACTTATAGGTGCTTTAATAAATGTTAGCTAATTTATGATTATAATTATTATTATGCCTTATATATGCATTATTTCACTTAATCCTCACAATTATCACCTAAGGTATTATTTCCCCGATTTTACAGGTGGGAAAACTAAAGTTCTTAGAGGATTCTTAATTTCTTTACATTCTTAATGCACTCTAGTTTATTGTACTTCACTATTTAGAACTTATTGTATATGTATTGTTCTAATGCTAGTTTCATTTCTTTAACTATATTAAAAAATTTTAGCTAAGAATTTGAGATTTTTATAGCTCTTATGTTACCTGCAGTGTTGGCACATGCTGGCTACTCAGCAATACTTTCTGAGTAATCATAAAAAGATTGCAAATCACATGCAGTTGCATATCTGGCAAATGAACAAAAGGTAGAGACTTTCTCTACTGTTTAAGAGGTTGTATTCTTTAATTTTTAGGGTGGAGGAAGGGAAGGAAGAAGGAAAGAAGGGGTTTACAAATTCTTTTTTGGTTGCTGCATGTATTTAGAGGTTATAGTAGAAATAAGAATAAAGTTAGATGTAAAAGATTATTTTCATGAAAAATTAAATGGAACATGTGACATAATTTTTCTGGATGTGAAAATTCATTTTGTATAAGCCTTGTTGTGTTTAAAAGAAAAGGAGAGTAAATATATTTAATTACATATATGACATTAAGTTCTTAGATATAACCTAATTTGTCAAGTCTTTTCTGTTGAAAAGGCAAGGCATTTTTAAAAATTTATTTTTAAATATATTTTTATTGATTTCAGGGAGGAAGGGAGAGGGAGAGAGAGAGATAGAAACATCAATAATGAGAGAGAATCATTGATTGGCTGCCTCCTGCACACCCCCTACTGGGGATGGAGCCCACAACCTCGAGCATGTGCCCTGACTGGGAATTGAACCATGATCTCTTGGTCCATAGGTCCATGCTCAACCACAGAGCCACACCAGCTGGGCAAAAATGCAAGGAATTTTAATACACTCTTTAGATAGTCAAAGTATTTCAGCCATGCTCTGCCTTTTTGTAAATAGTTGTTGAAATGTCAGGACATTATCTAGAACTGCTTGGTATAAATAAAGGTCTAAGGATGATTACTTGTAGCAAGGGTATTTAGCATGCTAGTTAAGTAAATTTAATAGGTGACTGAAACACTAACATATTTTACTGTTATTTGTTGGGGCAGCCATTTAAAGATCGCTGTGAATGGTTTTATGAACATTTGCATTCAGGACAAGCAGATTCAGACATGGTGCATAGACCAGTGAGTGAGAATGACATCCTGCTGGTTCACAGAGGTATGCTTACAAAAGAAACGCTGTGCATGTGAGGCCCCAAACACTAGCTATTGTAAATTTTAATATGTACAATTAACCAGTGCTGCATATTTAGATTCCATTTTTAGGAGTAGCTGTGAAGTCGTGTCAAAAGCAAATTGTGCAAAGCTAAAGCAAGGAATTGCTGTACGGTTCCATGGAGAAGAAGGCATGGTGGGTATAAACATAAGTGATGAAGATCAATGTATATAAAAGATTAAAATACACTTGAATAAAATTTAATATTTAATTGGTAATTGAAGAAATTTAATATGCTTTTAATTTTATTGTTTACAAAAAACTTCCCCATCTTATATATTTCTGTTGATACTTAATTTTATTTTCTTGAACTTAGGGTCAAGGCGTTGTGCGTGAATGGTTTGATATTCTGTCTAATGAGATAGTCAATCCTGATTATGCATTGTTTACCCAGTCAGCTGATGGTAAGTTGTACAGCCTCCATGACTCTTTCTATTTTTGAAGTGGTTGTTTGCGGCAGCAGTCTGCGGTGTTTACCTATGCCGCCATCTTGGTCTCTCCGATTCTTAATTTCTTTATTCTTAATGCACTCTAGTTTATTGTACTTCACTATTTAGAACTTATTGTATATGTATTGTTCTAATGCTAGTTTCATTTCTTTAACTATATTAAAAAATTTTAGCTAAGAATTTGAGATTTTTATAGCTCTTATGTTACCTGCAGTGTTGGCACATGCTGGCTACTCAGCAATACTTTCTGAGTAATCATAAAAAAATTGCAAATCACATGCAGTTGCATATGTGGCAAATGAACAAAAGGTAGAGACTTTCTCTACTGTTTAAGAGGTTGTATTCTTTAATTTTTAGGGTGGAGGAAGGGAAGGAAGAAGGAAAGAAGGGGTTTACAAATTCTTTTTTGGTTGCTGCATGTATTTAGAGGTTATAGTAGAAATAAGAATAAAGTTAGATGTAAAAGATTATTTTCATGAAAAATTAAATGGAACATGTGACATAATTTTTCTGGATGTGAAAATTCATTTTGTATAAGCCTTGTTGTGTTTAAAAGAAAAGGAGAGTAAATATATTTAATTACATATATGACATTAAGTTCTTAGATATAACCTAATTTGTCAAGTCTTTTCTGTTGAAAAGGCAAGGCATTTTTAAAAATTTATTTTTAAATATATTTTTATTGATTTCAGGGAGGAAGGGAGAGGGAGAGAGAGAGATAGAAACATCAATAATGAGAGAGAATCATTGATTGGCTGCCTCCTGCACACCCCCTACTGGGGATGGAGCCCACAAACTCGAGCATGTGCCCTGACTGGGAATTGAACCATGATCTCTTGGTCCATAGGTCCATGCTCAACCACAGAGCCACACCAGCTGGGCAAAAATGCAAGGAATTTTAATACACTCTTTAGATAGTCAAAGTATTTCAGCCATGCTCTGCCTTTTTGTAAATAGTTGTTGAAATGTCAGGACATTATCTAGAACTGCTTGGTATAAATAAAGGTCTAAGGATGATTACTTGTAGCAAGGGTATTTAGCATGCTAGTTAAGTAAATTTAATAGGTGACTGAAACACTAACATATTTTACTGTTATTTGTTGGGGCAGCCATTTAAAGATCGCTGTGAATGGTTTTATGAACATTTGCATTCAGGACAAGCAGATTCAGACATGGTGCATAGACCAGTGAGTGAGAATGACATCCTGCTGGTTCACAGAGGTATGCTTACAAAAGAAACGCTGTGCATGTGAGGCCCCAAACACTAGCTATTGTAAATTTTAATATGTACAATTAACCAGTGCTGCATATTTAGATTCCATTTTTAGGAGTAGCTGTGAAGTCGTGTCAAAAGCAAATTGTGCAAAGCTAAAGCAAGGAATTGCTGTACGGTTCCATGGAGAAGAAGGCATGGTGGGTATAAACATAAGTGATGAAGATCAATGTATATAAAAGATTAAAATACACTTGAATAAAATTTAATATTTAATTGGTAATTGAAGAAATTTAATATGCTTTTAATTTTATTGTTTACAAAAAACTTCCCCATCTTATATATTTCTGTTGATACTTAATTTTATTTTCTTGAACTTAGGGTCAAGGCGTTGTGCGTGAATGGTTTGATATTCTGTCTAATGAGATAGTCAATCCTGATTATGCATTGTTTACCCAGTCAGCTGATGGTAAGTTGTACAGCCTCCATGACTCTTTCTGTGACTTGTCACATTTCAAACTACTTCAGTGTATTTTATTCTTTGATTCCTGTAGTAGCTCTATAATATAGGTTGGGTATTCCCATTTCATAGAAAAGAAAACTGAAATTCAGAGTTTTTGTCTATGTTGGCACAGTTAATGAATGGAAACTGACTCAGTCTAGCAGTCTTTCCTCCCAGCGGTTCTCAACCTGTGGGTCGTGAACAATGAAAATACATCCTGCATATCAGATATTTACATTACGATTCATAACAGTAGCAAAATTACAGTTATGAAGTAGCAACGAAAATAATTTTATGATTGGGGGTCACCACAACATGAGGAACTGTATTAAAGGGTTTCGGCATTAGGAAGGTTGAGAACCACTGCAACAGTTGATTATCCAATGCTTGTCTCAAGTACTAGTGCTGCCCCCAAGAAACTTCATTAGCTCTTTATAAACTAGAACTAAATTTATTCACTTTAAGGATTGTCCTTTGGTCTACTTTTCTTGAGGTAAAATTTCCTTTAGTGAAATAGTGATAGTAGATGATGTGAAAATAATACAAGTACTTATTTGGAAAAATTAAAATTTGCTAATCCTATTTAAGTTTCCAAGCCTCAAAATTTATTGGTTATAACAAACAAAGTCTAGAAATCATGATATCAAATCTTAACTTACAGTTTACTTATGTATAGTAACTTAATTTTCAGTCTTTTTAAAATGTCAAGACCTGACAACTAAGAAGTTCTTATTTAACCATTTAATACAGATAAAAAACTCTGTTTGTTGAAATGGTACTTGTGACACAGAACTGAATTTGACATTGTAGGCTAAATGGAAATGATTAGTGTACTGCCTCATTTGTGTGAGGTATAATTAAGAGTTTTGTAACTTCATAGACACATATCCAAGTGAAGGTAGGATTTCAGTTTTTAAATGCTATGTACAGTTGCTTTTTTCCCCTAAAAACTTTTTCTTTCCCATTGTTTAAATTTTTTTTTATAAGGGTAGAGTGTTTCATTACTTGTAGTTCCTGATTGCATCCAACCAAATGAGTAGCACATCTTCTTTGAATAAGAATGACTCTAAGAGAGGCAAGTGGAGGAGGGCTGCAGTGGTGCTAGGCAGCTGTAGATATCCAGCTGTGTGATGGGCTCCTCAGATATACTTGGTGTATTTGAAATTATTTAGAAACTAGTAGCCTGGTGCACGAAATTCGTGCATGGGTAAGGTCCCTAGGCCCGGCTGGCAATCAGGGCCCATCTGTGGGATGACCGGCAGGGTGATTGGGGCCCCCCCATTTGCACCCACCTTGGCTGGCCTGGTGCTGCCCACTCGCTGGCCCCACCCCACACCGCCACCACTGCTGGTTGCCTCCCTCTGTGGGGCAACCGGCGGGGTGATCAGTGGGCCCCCGGTTGTACCCGCCTTGGCTGGCCTAGGGCCTGTGGTCTGGGGGCAGCTCCTGCGTTGAGCGTCTGCCCCCTGGTGGTCAGTGCGCATCATAGCGACTGGTCGTTCTGCCATTCAGTCGATTTGCATATTAAGCTTTTATTATATAGGGTTATATAGGATATGGGACTGCCTACTTTAACTCTGTTTTCTTTGATTGTTTGCTATGAGATGAATTTGTTGAATTTGACAAGACTAATGTGGCATTAAATTTCATTATTTAGGCCTAATCTTTGATGTAAGATTTAGCATTAAAACATTGTATTTTCTTTTTATTTTTTAAAAAATATTTTTATTGATTTCAGAGAGGAAGGGAGAAGGGGAGAGAGAGTTAGAAACATCAGTGATGAGAGAGAATCATTGATTGGCTGCCTCCTGCATGCCCCACACTGGGAATTGAGCCCATAACCCTGGCATGTGCCCCGACTGGGAATTGAACCTTGACCTCCTGGTTCATAGGTTGATGCTCAACCACTGAGCCACACTGGCTAGGCTAAAACATTGTATTTTAGATGCATTTCTTTTCTTTATAGCCCTTTATTCTGAGTCTGTTGTATACCGTTCCATAGCTGAAAAACAGATTTGGTGTGAAATCATTAGTCGAGGTACTTTCTTGTACTATAAATTTATAGTAGAGCATATATTGAAGCACATAGACTATAAAAATTGTGATTTGTCCTTTTTGTAAGCCATATGAGTGTTCTTTTCAGGTTCATAGTATGAACAGATTAAAATCTAGATGAAATTGTTCTTATGTATAGTTGACAAGAAGGGAATTACATTTAAGAATTAAAATTTCCTAAATGTGGGAAATGTTTGAATAGACCTAATGTCTATAATAATGTCTTTAAAACTTGCTTTCTAATTAAATTAAGATACTTAACATTAGACAAGTAATATGCTATAGTGGCCAAGAGTTTGGCCTTTGGTGTTAGGCTCTGCCCCTTTTTATGCTGCTACGGGAATCAAAGGATAAATTGTACAATACAATTTTTCTGAAGCAATGAAAATAACTGGGAGTATCACAGTTACTTTTATTTTGAACTTAAAACATAACAGAATTTATATTATGTTTTAACTCGCTTTAAGTTAAAAACTATTATTTGTTTCCTGAATATTTCCCCCCATTTTTTTCTTTTGATTTCTCTTCTATTCTTTTTAATAACCCAGACTTCCCAGAAAGTACTTACAGAAGGAATTGTACAGACCAAGGGGGGGAAGGTTCAGTTCATCAAAAATCTTTACTGGTTCATCAATAACCCTAAGCATTCACTCTTTTAATACATAAAAAACTTTTGTGATTATTCTCAGAATATTGTATTTTTTGAAATTATGGCTATGTTTATCCTTAAAGTGTTTCTTCATCCCACAGAACTTTGCCTTGACTTTTAATACCCAGTCTTACATTATGATTCTCTAAAGGTATTTCACAGTGAATGATTAGCTTCATGTGGCTCTTTTAAATCATTCAGCCATAAGCTTCCAAATTTGTACCTTATATCTCAGTAAATTGGTCATGGCAATTTAGTCCAATGCCAACTCTGATAAATCAAAGACCAACGAAGCACAAAGGGAATTATTGCCAAAGTACTATGTATACTAAATGACCAAACTTTTCACTCGCTAGTACTTTTTCATTGTTTCTTTATTTTCCTTTGATGCAGTTTCATTAATTTTATCAATTATTTATTTTAGGTAGCACAAGCTCAATAAATACTTGTTGAATGATAAGAGGATTTATAATCCAAGTTAGTGATTATCACAGAAAAACAGGGAAGAAGGGTTACTTAAAGTTGAGGTCTTGGTATTAGGTTTTTTCATTGCAGTAGATATTTTTGAGGCGTTTTTTTATTGTGACTAAATTTACCATTTTAATAATCTTGAAGTGTTATAATTCAGTGGCACTATGTGCATTCATAGTGTTGTGTATCTGTCACCACTGTCTTATTTCCAGATCTTTTTCATATAGGTGGAGTCATATACTCCATTGCTCTAGATTTTGACAGTAATGGGTAACTATTGCCCTTGCCATTTTTACTTTTATACCTCAGAGGTACTTATTTAACCTTGATTATTTGCCATGAGGATGAATTGGTTGACTTGTGGACTTTTGGTAATTTTCTGAGAATTGTTAAAAGGCATCAAGTTCATTGATTAGTAGTTCTATTACTTAAGAATAGTTAGTTATTTTCTTATAGTGCTGTGTTCCTTAAGGAGCAAAAAGTAGTAAATACCTACTGCACTGGGCCTGAATGAGACAATGTCTGCCTTAATTCACAGCCTAGCAGTTATTTATCCACACTGTCCAGGGAACCGTGTGTGTGTGTGTGTGTGTGTGTGTGTATGTGATCTTTTAATATATTATTTCCAGGATCTCTCTGACACATCTTTCAATTAAAATACTTAAAAGTGCAGTTTAAAAGTACTCTAAAATTTTCTCTCTGTACAAAGATGTACTGTGATATATATGTGTGAATTAATGTCTTTTGTACTTCTAGTTTCACTGCCTGTTATATATTTCACAAAGAACATTCCTGTGGAAATTAATACATAACGTTAGCTTTGCTGAAGTTTTGTATGAACAAATTTATCAGCATTAAAATGATGTCTCTTCTGCATATAGATTCTTTAAAATACATTATTTTGTATTTATTTTAATAGGAACAACTTTTCAGCCTAATAGCAACTCCTACGTAAATCCTGATCACCTGAACTATTTCCGTTTTGCTGGACAGATCTTGGGGTTAGCTTTGAACCATAGGCAGCTGGTCAACATTTACTTCACAAGATCATTCTATAAGCACATTCTTGGTATGGCTCTAATTTATTTATTTAAAGTGTTTTTCCTATAGTCTTTAAGTAAATATAATTTGATAAGTGATGCCATTTTGAATGAGAACATTTTTATTTTGCTTAGAGACTGTCTGTGTATGTAAGGCATTTAAATGAGGGCCTGAGGGAAAGAAAAAAACACCTACAATTTTTTTTTTCATTTCAGTGTATGTATATTTATACTAAGAATGTATTTTGACATGAATATACTTAAGAGAATTGGCACTTTTTGAAGTTTATAATAATTTCCTGAATAGTGTTTTTAAAGAAAGATTACATTGTAAAAATGTGGAAGAAACTAAGCTTAAATTAAGCCTCAAATTCAAGAATTAGCATCCATTTACACAATTTTTTTTTTCATTTCAGTGTATGTATATTTATACTAAGAATGTATTTTGACATGAATATACTTAAGAGAATTGGCACTTTTTGAAGTTTATAATAATTTCCTGAATAGTGTTTTTAAAGAAAGATTACATTGTAAAAATGTGGAAGAAACTAAGCTTAAATTAAGCCTCAAATTCAAGAATTAGCATCCATTTAAATCATGCTGTGAATTTGATTATATTTTGCAGTTTTACGTAGTATCTGTAGAGGGCAGTATTTTACCATTAAACAGATAAGGAAAGGCAGAAACATGTAGAATATAACTGCTGTATGTTTATATTTTTAGGTATTCCTGTAAATTACCAAGATGTGGCATCTATTGATCCAGAATATGCCAAGAATTTGCAGTGGATTTTAGATAATGATATTAGTGATCTGGGTCTAGAACTGACTTTTTCTGTTGAGACTGATGTGTTTGGAGCAATGGAAGAGGTACCTTTGAAACCTGGGGGTGGAAGTATTCTGGTGACACAAAATAACAAAGTAAGTATTTGAATTTTTACCTTAGCCACTGTTTGTAACTTGGTCCTGATATTCTAAAGTCTCCTGGCTAATTATTGTAAAGTCTCCTGGTATTAGCTAAAAATTTTTTTACTGTTAGAGTTAATAACATTTTATAAAAGAAAAATATTTTAATTAACCAAACTTATGGTTAAATAAGACTAAAACCTTTTTCCTTTCCTTTTTCCTTTCCTGTAGTTGAGTTATAATTCTAAGACAGCTTTAGAATCACCTACCTACAAAAATAATGTTTATCAAACCATTTTTTAGACTAGCAATTTAGTAAAATATCAAATTTTTTTTTTTTTTAAACCAAAAGACTTGGCCATGTTTTAGCTAAACTCTGAGCCTCAGTTTTCCATTCTGTAAAATCGGGATAATACTACCTCCCATAGAGAATTGTTACTAACATTTTGTAAACCTAAAAGCACATTACAAAAGTTAGTTGTTATTGGATAGTTTTCTATAAAAAATAGGCTTAAAGTTTCAGATATACACAGGAAATTGGAGACTTATATTACGCTATATAATTTTCCTTTTTGAAACTTAGATACTGTTCATATAAAAAACATGAAGTTTAATTTTGGAAAATAAAATCAGGAGCTGAGTTTTCCATATTTATATTTACATTTTTTTATTTACCCTCTCATTTTACACATGAGGATACTGAAGCCTAAAGCTGGGGCCAGAACCCAGGTCTCCTGTCTCCTAGTTTCAAGTCTAATATTCTTCATACTATTTGCAAAATTAATCATGTTAAGGAGGAGCTTCTTGACTTTTAATATAATGAGTCATATGAAGCTCTAGAAACTTAAAATAGTAAAGTGCTTAAATTAGTTTTTAAAATCTATATGAACTTGCTAGTGAATGAAATTTTTTTTAATCCTTCTAATTATTAGATTGTCCACCTTGCAGTGAATTTGTTCCTTTATTTTACAATGGAGACATGCTCTCAATTACGGGAGATGAAGTCATAGAATCTTTATTATAACCAAGTGATTGCTTTTCATGAGAGAATCTCAAACATGATTCCGACCTGTGAATATCGTATCTGATGATGAGTGTATTTGTCTCTCCTCTCAGATATATTTTATATGACAAAGTAGAAAGATCCACTAACAATTGCATGATAGATAGCTCTATTTGTACTTGTTTCTCCTAACAGCTTCCCTCCCACTATGACTGATTTTTGTTTAGATTCATATTTTATTAATTCTTTTACATTTGTGTTTTTTGTGGAAATCTAGAAAGAAGGAAGATATTCAAAAAATAATAGCAAATGAGAATATACTCACACTGAAGGTATACCCTTTATCTTGATTCTACTCTGAGGCTGGAATACTATTATAATATTAAAGAGCTTGAAACTTTTGTTTCTGAGTTTAGTACATTTTTACTTAACTATATTAACTAATTGGTTGATTACAGGCTAAACTTTTTCAATAATTAGTTTGGTAATAGAGCTAAAAGCAGGATCTCAATCATTAATATATAAATTCTCAGCTTTCAATTTTGGGATATAAACATTTTTCACAATAAATTGAGCCTATAATATTACCCACAATAAGAGTCAAGTATAATTTTATATCTAATTGTTGATGCTTAAACACTTAATGCTTATTGAATAAACAACCTGATTAATTTTTAAATATTAAAAATCTTTAGAAATATACTTATAGCTTAAATTGACCACTCACTTTAAAATTGTTAAAGTATTCAATTTACAAATAAAATTTTCAAACCATGTTTTTTACAGGTATTATTCTTTAACATACATTTCTGTCATGAACCTTTGTGTCACTTTAGGGTCAGCTTTTTATCTACTTACCTTTATAGGTAAAAAGTTATAAAGTTGTCATGTTCATCTTCAAAATTTATAATCATATTGAAGCTAAATGACTTGCCAAGCTTGTTAGTAAGAGAAAGTCTATGTAAGCTGATCTCCACATGGGGGAGTCATTTATTCCTAAGTTTTATTGAAAGGCTTTGGTAATTATAGAGTGAAACCAAACAGATGAAAATACCCTTTTTTGAAAAGCAGTAAATTAAAAAATACTATTAATGTAAGGCAGAAGAATATATCCCAGTTCCACATTGGAACTATAATGCTCTTTGAAATTTATTTTGTATCTGTTTTGTTTTAAAATCTAGAGGGTAAAAACAAAGAACCTTGTTTTCACGTTTGAAAATGGCTGAATATTTACATTTATATAGTATTTTTAGTTTTGCTTTTCCCTTTTTTACTTTCACTTTTAAATTCTTGATGAAAAGCTGAAATTGTAGAACCACGAAATCTGGAATAAAAGTGACATTTTTGGCCCAAACCTTAAGTTCTAGCTGTTAGAACTGAATATGACCAGTAAGGGTCAAGTATAATTTTATATCTAATTGATGATGCTTAATACTTATTCAATAAACAGCCTGATTAATTTTTAAACATTAAAAATCTTTACAAACATACCTGTAGCTTAAATTGATCTAGCTGTTAGAACTGAAGAGTAAGCTACTTGGGTTTTAAAAGTTAGGAACACTTTTACAATACTAATCCTCAGGTTCGTTTTGGCTGGAAGGGGAAAACATGGGGGTGGGATGGGATAGGATGTCAGGGGATGGAGGAGGTGCCATGGGAGTTGGATTACAGAGGAGAACCATTAAGTGGTCAGAATGGGAGTAAGGAAGGGGAGAAGGAAGTGTTCTAGGCTTACAAGAAGGCACAGAGTGGACCTAGCATGTGTTTGGGGAACCACAGATAGGTGAGAGTTGTACATCTTAGCTTAGATTGCAAAGTAAGTGAGTGGAAAAAGATTAGCTGAGGGAGGTAGAAAGGGCCAAATTCTGAAAGACTTTAATTCACAATCAGAAATTTGAACATTATTCCAAAGGCTATGGGATGATTGAAGATGCTATAGTGGGGAGTCACATGATCGCATAAACTCAGCTTGGCATGTGAGGAATGGATTGAAATGGGCTAGTACAGATCAGCTGGTAGGTTGTTGTGGCAGTGGTCTGTGGAGCATGCATGGGGGATTTTATGCCAGTGCCAGTGAGGATGGAGAAAAAGATAGCTTTCAAAGATATAGAATTTATGAAACTTAGTAATTGTTTGGGAAGGTGAAAAGAGAACAACTCAAAGATGACTACTGCTTTTGTGGATTGGCCCCCGGAATGACTGTTGTTGCTATCCTCCTCTTCATCAATCTCATTACCATCAGTGTTGCTTTCTAGTGATAATAGGTACGGCTTATTGAGTACTTGGTATATATTTCATGTATTTAAGATGTGCTCTTCGTGCATTTGCATTTCTATTTACTACTAGAGGCCCAGTGCACGAAAATTCGTGCACTCTGGGGGGGTCCCTCAGCCCTGCCTGTGCCCTCTTGCAGTCTGGGAGCCCTAAGGGCAGTGGTTCTCAACCTTCCTAATGCTGTGACCCTTTAATACAGTTCCTCATGTTGTGGTGACCCCAACCATAAAATTATTTTTGTTGCTACTTCATCACTGTAATTTTGCTACTGTTATGAATTGTAATGTAAATATCTGATATGCAGGATGTATTTTCATTGTTACAAATTGAACATAATTAAAGCATAGTGATTAATCACAAAAACAATATGTAATTATATATGTGGTTTCTGATGGTCTTAGGTGACCCCTGTGAAAGGGTCGTTCGACCCCCAAAGGGGTCACGACCCACAGGTTGGTGACCCACAGGTTGAGAACCGCTGCCTTAGGGGATGTAGCAGGCCTAAGCCGCAGTCTGGCCTCCCTCTGCGGGAGGCGACCAGCGGGCCAATCGGGCCGGTGCTGGCTGGTGAGGGGCCAGCCCCGCCCCCCATTGCCCCGCTGCCACTGGTCACTGCCACCCTGTGATCGCCGTCCACTCCCTCTGCTCACTGGCACCGGCCTTTGCTGGCCTGGCGCCGCCCACTTGCCAGCCCTGCCTCCTGCTGTCCGATCGTTCCACCATTCGGTTGATTTGCATATTAGGCTTTTATTATATAGGATAACAGCCTTTTGAGATAGTTATTTCTATTTATTGAATGTGGAAACAGCTTTAATATTAAAAGCATCTGGCATTTATCAGGTGCTTATGTGTTAGGCACTGTTCACAGTACTTCATGTGTATTAACTTCAATAGTCCTGTGAAGTGTAGATATCCTTTTTTACAGGTCAGGAGACTGAAGGGTAAAGGGCTTAAGTAGCTTTCCTCCAGATCACGTGGTTAATAAGTGTTGGAGCTAGGATTTGAACCCAGGCAGTCTATAAATTTCAAGCCTGAGCTTGTAACTATGACATTATTGTTAATGTAAGAAACATTCAAACTTGTGAAGAATTTTTGTGAGTTTATTTGAGCCAAACTGTTGACAGACGCCAGGAAGCAGAATCCCAGCAGATTGAGATAATACTCTGGAGAATGGCAGTTTTGCACCTTGTTTTATACATTACAGTCAAAAGAGGGGATGTAAGTGGGTTACGTGAAATCTATTGGTGATAGATTAGGGAGGTGGGAGTAAGCAAAGCAGAAAGGCGTGGACCTCTGGGATTGGATAAAAAGTAAAATGATAGACACATACTTTTTTTATTTAGGTGGGTGCAGATAGTTAACACTTGACAACTCAATAACAATGAGGAGACTTGTAGTCTCCAGAGCGGTGTCTGTACTTTGAGGGGTTCGGAAAAAGGAAAATTACTTTGACATTCCAATGATGTTATCCTAGATGCAAAAAGACAATAGACAGGCTCAGTTAAGGTAAAGATTGGCCTTTGTCAGGGAAGATACCAGCCTAGTACATGAGTGCCCACCATAAATTGATTTTTAGTTAAAAAATTTTTAATTTCAGACCATCCTTTGTGGTTACTTTAAGTCTCTTGAGTTTGTAAGGCTGCCACGCAGGCCTTCCCTGAGCTAGTCAGGTTAGCATGTGGCCCCTTTTTATCCATGGTTAGCATGTGGCCCCTTTTTATCCACACTATATATTTCT